TGTGTGTGTGTGTGTGTGTGTGTGTGTGTGTGTGTGTGTCAGCTGTCGTCACAGTTGGTCTGCAGCATTTCAACCAACAGCTGGAGGCTCAGCTCCGACACAAACTAAACTATGAACCACGTTGTACTTCTACTACATTATTCTACACTATACTACATTATACTACCTTTATCTGACAGTTAAATATCAATACAACTAAATATCATCAGCTAATTAATGATCATGTATAATTATAGATTATATAAAGCTATTAAAATGAGTTCCACCTTTAAAGGGTTCAACACAGTCATGTAATAATATACAACTTTACTTTTTGAAACTTTAACTTGTAACAGAGTATTTCTAAGCTATGATAATTTCTCTGTGTGTGTGTGTGTTACTGTCACTCTGTTGAGGATGTCGACCCTCCAGCTGTTGGCTGGAAACGCTCACTTCAGGTCTTTATTGGCCACAGGTGTGTGTGTGTATGTGTGTGTATGTATGTGTGTGTGTCTTTAAATAGTCTCTGTGAAGTCGAACTCTGTCGGAATTCGTCAGGATAAACAACACACACATACGTCTGCTGTCCACCTGCTGTGTGTGTGTGTGTGGTGGAGAGGTGTACATATACATATATACAGTTGTGTGAAAAAGTGTTTGCCCCCTTCCTGATTTTTTATTTTTTTGCATGTTTGTCACACTTAAATGTTTCAGATCATCAAACAAATTTAAATATTAGACAAAGATAACACAAGTAAACACAAAATGCAGTTTTTAAATGAAGGTTTTTATTATTAAAGGGGAAAAAAAATCCAAACCTACATGGCCCTGTGTGAAAAAGTGATTGCCCCCCCCTGTTAAAACATAAATTAACTGTGGTTTATCACATCTTTAGAAAGCTGAGTTGAATTTCTCTAGCCACACCCAGGCCTGATTACTGCCACACCTGTTCTCAATCAAGAAATCACTTAAATAGGACCTGCCTGACAAAGTGAGGTAGACCAAAAGATCCTCAAAAGCTAGACATCATGCTGCGATCCAAAGAAATTCAGGAACAAATGAGAAACAAAGTAATTGAGATCTATCAGTCTGGAAAAGGTTACAAAGCCATTTCTAAAGCTTTGGGACTCCAGCGAACCACAGTGAGAGCCATTATCCACAAATGGCGAAAACATGGAACAGTGGTGAACCTTCCCAGGAGTGGCTGGCCGACCAAAATTACCCCAAGAGCGCAGCGACGACTCATCCAAGAGGTCACAAAAGACCCCAGAACAACATCCAAAGAACTGCAGGCCTCACTTGCCTCAATTAAGGTCAGTGTTCATGACTCCACCATAAGAAAGAGACTGGGCAAAAATGGCCTGCATGGCAGAGTTCCAAGACGAAAACCACTGCTGAGCAAAAAGAACATAAAGGCTCGTCTCAGTTTTGCCAGAAAACATCTTAATGATCCCCAAGACTTTTGGGAAAATACTCTGTGGACTGACGAGACAAAAGTTGAACTTTTTGGAAGGTGTATGTCCCATTACATCTGGCGTAAAACTAACACGGCATTTCAGAAAAGGAACATCATACCAACAGTAAAATATGGTGGTGGTAGTGTGATGGTCTGGGGCTGTTTTGCTGCTTCAGGACCTGGAAGACTTGCTGTGGTAAATGGAACCATGAATTCTGCTGTCTACCAAAAAATCCTGAAGGAGAATGTCCGGCCATCTGTTCGTGACCTCAAGCTGAAGCGCACTTGGGTTCTGCAGCAGGACAATGATCCAAAACACACCAGCAAGTCCACCTCTGAATGGCTTAAGAAAAACAAAATGAAGACTTTGGAGTGGCCTAGTCAAAGTCCCGACCTGAATCCGATTGAGATGCTGTGGCATGACCTTAAAAAGGCGGTTCATGCTCGAAAACCCTCCAATGTGGCTGAATTACAACAATTCTGCAAAGATGAGTGGGCCAAAATTCCTCTACAGCGCTGTAAAAGACTCATTGCCAGTTATCGCAAACGCTTGATTGCAGTTGTTGCTGCTGAGGGTGGCCCAACCAGTTATTAGGTTTAGGGGGCAATCACTTTTTCACACAGGGTTATTTCCCCCTTAATAATAAAAACCTTCATTTAAAAACTGCATTTTGTGTTTACTTGTGTTATCTTTGTCTAATATTTAAATTAGTTTGATGATCTGAAACATTTAAGTGTGACAAACATGCAAAAAAATAAGAAATCAGGAAGGGGGCAAACACTTTTTCACACAACTGTATATACTGTATATGTATATGTATATACATCACTTCCTGTCTCTGCAGCCTCACAAAGATGCTCTGTCTAAATGTCACATGACAGTTTCTATCAGGACTATCAATGATGAAGAGAGGTGTTGTTGTTGCAGTATGGTGCCTCTGCTGGGACAAAATGACACATCAGTGGTTTATACACAGTTTTTAAGTAGTACTCATTATGTATTTGTATTATTATTATTGATGCATCAATGAGTTGATCTCCTAAATGTTGCAGCTAATAAAGGAGCTCATTATAGTTACTTTATATACTGCTGCTAGTTTAATAATAAAACATTATTATTAGTTTTATTAGATTAACTAAAGCTGTCCGGAGCAGTAAAAAGTACACCATTAATCTGTGAGATGTAGAAGAAGAAGAAAGTATCAGAACACAGAAGTACTTGATTAAACTTCAGATCACCTCGTGACTCTAGTCTGATGGAAACATCTCGTGTTTTCGCCTGAAGGACAAAAAGTAAATCTGATGAAGCAGAGAAGAAAAGAAACAGCAGCTCCTGTTTCCTGGGGAAAGATTACAGCGTCGCTCCGATCACACCGCTTCCTCTGTGAACAACATGGGGCAGACTAATCTCTGGACACTCTGCTTCCTGAGGGGAAAATATGATGTCACACACACACACACACGTTAGCATTGTGTCGGCAGTTCAGGTGAAGGTGCTGAAAGTAGTTGAACTACAGAGTTTAGATGTTGGTTCATCTTGGTTTTTGTTGACACCAGAATTGACATCAGAGGGTGGAGCTAAGAACAACCAAACACTGAATAAAACATTTTTAAGACCGAAATGCTACAAATACGAAGTGAAAACACACTAAAGAGTTAAAGTTGTAAAACGAAAACACGGACAACTCTCTGGTGTCGACCTGTCCCCCCCGCCCTAAAGCATACCCTGCTTTATGGTCTATTAGAGACCTGTCAATCACTGTGTAGCCCCGCCCTAAAGCATCCCCTGCTTTATGGTCTGTGTGACTCTAAATGGACCATAATGTACTAAATGAACATCATGCTGTATTGAAGAAGACTTGAAACTAGAGATTGAGACCATAAACTCATGTTTACAATGTTTACTGAGGTAATAAATCAAGAGAGAAGTAGTCACTTTCTCATAGACTTCTATACAACCAGAGGAGTCGCCCCCTGGTGGACACTAGAGAGAATGCAGTTTTAACACATGAAGCTTTGACTTCACTTACAGAACGACTGCTTCAAACTGGATGAATGTGAGGCTCTCATTGGTCCGTTCAGAGCTGTCCAGCAGAGGAAACGTGTGTGTGTGTGTGTGTGTGTGTGTGTGTGTGTGTGTTCTGTATAAATCTGTTAAACAGAAAGAAAGAGTCATCAGACCAAAAGTTGGTTTTCATTTCAGGAACAGCTCAGAGTTCCCCTCAGATTCCTGTGAGTGTGCATGTGTTTCCTATTTAAAGTGACCTCATTGCTTCAGACCGGGGGCTGGATGACATCATCCTGAGCAGACCTCTATTTTCTCTATTTTGGCGAACAGGAAACCGGGTCGAAGGAAAAACCTTTTAAACCACCAAACGGTGAATTTTACCGGCTTCTTATTGGCCGGCAGATAAAACAGCTGGTAACCATGTTACTGGTTAACTGAGAGGTTAAACTAACTAACACCCCCCCGTCTCCCAGACTCTAAGGCCATCGTGGACGGGAACCTGAAGCTGATCCTGGGTCTGATCTGGACCCTGATCCTGCACTACTCCATCTCCATGCCCATGTGGGAGGACGAGGACGACGAGGACGCCAAGAAGCTGACCCCCAAACAGCGCCTGCTGGGCTGGATCCAGAACAAGGTGCCCCAGCTCCCCATCACCAACTTCCACCGGGACTGGAGGGACGGCAAGGCACTGGGAGCCCTGGTGGACAACTGTGCCCCTGGTAGGTCCAGGACCAGGACCCAGTAGTCAATCATTAGTCATTGATTAGTCAGAATATAAGACTCAATAATCTCTGTGCTGCCTTCAGGTCTGTGTCCAGACTGGGAGAACTGGGACCCCAGTCAGCCAGTGGAGAACGCCAGAGAGGCCATGCAGCAGGCGGACGACTGGCTCGGAGTTCCTCAGGTAACGTTCACCTGTTTCTGACCCTTTAATGCCTGGAACATGGGGGGTTATGAAGCCACGCTCACAAATATTAGATGAGACCAATCACAGAGAAGATTAAGGAATATTTGAGGGTTTTGTTTGAACTAACAAACTTAACGTTAAAAATATTCTGATTTAAATAATTTAAAAGAGAAAATTTATTATAAAAACTAAATAATTTAGCCGTGATTTTAGAACACTAGAGTCTCAAAGATTATTATTCACATAACTGTTGTTATATATTCTACCAACATGCAGCTCTTTACTGTGTTTCAGATCATTTTATACTTTGTTTCATTCTTTCTTTTGAAGCAAATGTAGAAAATTAATTAGAACCTTTGAAACATTTGAATGTATTAGTTGTATAAAACATTCCTTCTTCTCTGACAGTATGTTGGTGTTGTGTTGTCGCTCTGCTGTCGAAGCCGATCGGGTTTATAGTTTAGTTTTTTTATAGTTTAAAGTAGACAAAATAATCAAATAATACGGGAATCAAATGATGAAATATCCTGATTATATGTTTCATAATTAAAGTCAGAAGCTAACATCATGCTCAGCTGGAGTTTATAACGAGGTGGAGTTCTCAGGGCTCCGTCCTCGGTCCTCTTCTCTTCAACATCTCCATAATAAGGATGAAAAAACAGCATAACCGAACTTTTATTTTGAAAGGACAAGGTGTTATTGATGCTTTTACTTCAGCAGGGTTTTAAAAACCTCTTCCTGTTGAAGAACCTGTGTTTCCTCAGCGCTCCACGGTCACTCTGTGAATGTATCTCCAGGTGATCGCTCCGGAGGAGATCGTGGATCCCAACGTGGACGAGCACTCGGTGATGACCTACCTGTCCCAGTTCCCCAAATCCAAACTGAAGCCCGGGGCCCCCTTAAGGGCCAAGACACTGCACCCGAAAAGGGCCAAGGCCTACGGACCAGGTGAGGAAACCATTCGGCACCAGAGTCCCCCCAGAAACCCACCAGTTTAAGACTTTTATCATCTTCAAATGAAAAGCAGCTGTTTCTGATTTATAGGTTATGATTATTGAAGAATATGAATCCACCGACAGGATCGGTCCGATCTCTGGGATTCATGTCTGATTCAACTTCTTTTCACACAAACAATTAATCAAATCATGAATGAGTTGATTCACAGAAAAGACTGATCCATCGTTTCAGGTTTTTGGCCATTTGCTCTTGTTTCAGTCAAATGTTTCCAGAGACCTGAATGACGTGAAATAACCATTCGCAGAATAATATAAATATCTAAATAATCGAAATATCTAAATAATTAAATAATTAAGTAATTAAATAATTAAATAATCTAAATATCTAAATATTTAAATAATTTAGATAATCTAAATATCTAAATAATTACATAGTTGCATAATTGCATAATTACATAATTACATAATTAAATAATTTAAATAATACAAATCTTACAAAACTTATTTCAATTCTAAATTGAATTGAGTGATTCATTGTGTGACTTTCTGCTGTCGACATGGTCTTCTTCAGCTGGACCATGAGTTGCCTACTTTAAGTCTTCTTCGTCTCGTGTGTCTCAGGTCTGGAGCCTCGAGGGAACGTGGTCCTGAAACCAGCAGAGTTCCTGGTGGAGACGGTGGAGGCCGGACTGGGCGAAGTTCTGGTCTACGTGGAGGATCCAGAGGGACACACGGAGGAGGTGGGAACACACGGTCTCATATATATTATTATTAATATTTAATATGTATTCAGTCAAACACACCAAAGTGAACCACAGCTGAGAATTCTGGTGTTTCTGTGTCCTTCAGGCCCGAGTGATCCCCAACAACGACCAGAACAGAAGCTACTCGGTGGTCTACCTGCCCAAAGTGGAGGGTCTCCATAAAGTAGGACCCTCATGTTTAAATGATGTCTGGTCATGTGATGTGTGTCAGTCCAGTTTGTCCAGGTGGTTCAGGTCTTCAGATCTCACCAAGTCACAAACAAACAAAAAAAGCTTTAAGTTCCTGCTTTAGTTCCTGGTTTAGCTCCTGATTCAGTTCCTGGTTTAGTTCCTGCTTTAGTTCCTGATTCAGTTCCTGGTTTAGTTCCTGATTCAGTTCCTGATTCAGTTCCTGGTTTTGGTCTTGGTTTAGTTCCTGGTTTCGTTCCTGGTTTACTTCATGCTTTAGTTCCTGCTTTAGTTCCTGGTTAGTTCCTGGCTTAGTTCCTGCTTTAGTTCATGGTTTAGTTCCTGCTTTACTTCCTGCTTTACTTCCTGCTTTACTTCCTGCTTTAGTTCCTGCTTTACTTCCTCCTTTAGTTCCTGGTTTAGTTCCTGGTTTTGTTCTTGGTTTAGTTTGTGCTTCAGTTCCTGATTCAGTTCCTGGTTTAGTTCCTGATTCAGTTCCTGGTTTAGTTCCTGGTTTTGTTCCTGGTTTAGCTCCTGTTTCAGTTCCTGGGTTAGTTCCTGATTCAGTTCCTGGTTTAGTTCCTGGTTTAGTTCCTGATTCAGTTCCTGATTCAGTTCCTGATTTACTTCCTGATTCAGTTCCTGGTTTTGTTCTTGGTTTAGTTCCTGGTTTAGTTCTTGGTTCAGTTCATGTTTTAGTTCCTGGTTTAGCTCCTGTTTCAGTTCCTGGTTTAGCTCCTGATTTAGTTCCTGATTTAGTTCCTGGTTTAGCTCCTGATTTAGTTCCTGATTTAGTTCCTGCTTTAGTTCCTGTTTCAGTTCCTGTTTCAGTTCCTGCTTTAGTTCCTGATTCAGTTCCTG